TGTGTGTGTGTGTGTGTGTGTGTGTGTGTGTGTCCTGACAAAGATCACCTGCAGACCTCTTCAGTTAGCCTCACGTCACCTCACCCCCTTCCTCTTAAGTGTGTGCAAACTGACTAACCTGTTTGTGTGTGTGAGCGCATTCTCATCCCACCCACCATCTAACACTGGGGTTGCGATTGCAGAACGGACATCAAAACACCCCCCACCACCATCATCAGCACCATCATTACCATGATCAGCCCCTCCAACAAGAACAAACTGTGCAGCCGCAGCAGCAGCAGCCGCAGCCGCAGCCGCAGCCGCAGCAGCAGCCGCAGCAGCAGCCGCAGCCGCAGCAGCAGCCGCAGCAGCAGCCGCCGCCGCAGCCGCAGCAGGCAGTGGCAGATCTGATAGACTTAGACCTGGGGATGGTGACTCAGGTAAGGAGCCATATACCAACATACAGCAAAGCACTCTGCTCTCTTTTGTTTTCAATTAGTGTTTTTAAGGCAGAACATAACGTTGTCAACGTTACCCATCAGCCCTCATAAACTGGTTTATCCTCGGATGATCCCCTGTGTCACGTCCTCCTCTGTCACTGCACCGCTTTTGTTCTTATGTAGTTGTAAGTCACCCCGAATCTTGACCCGTAGTATTTATGAATAAAACATGCAACCTTGCTGTTGCCATGGTAACCAGGTTGGGCTAGGAGTTAAGTCTAGCACTGTATGTACAGGTGCACCTGCGTGTCCACACCTGCCTGTGCGTGTGTGAAGTTGTACAATCGAGAAAAAAAAAACAGTCCACGAGCTCAGAGCGCAGGTCCTTCAGAGTCAGACATAAAGGTCAGAGCGGCTGTCAGAGAAGTGTGTCGGTGGGAGGGGAGCAGACAGTGGCGGTCATCTCATCTGCAGACCCGCTCGCAGAGTCGTTCACAGCACATTAATAAAGCATTCATAACACTCTGGTAATCACAGCAACCTGACCCCCTCACCCCATTACCACACACATAAAGAATATCGAGTCAAGTGAACAGAAAGTGGACAGAAAGTCTATAATCGTCCAACTTCCTGTGCTGCTCGAACGCACGCTCAGGTGGCATTTTTCCTGTGCCGGTGATTTCTGCTTGAACAACAGCGAAGCCTCTGTAGTACTTCAGTAACATTCAGTAACAACTAGAGGGAATTTACTGTGTTTTAGGTTAAGAAGAGTGTTTCATGAATTCAGTACCATGTACTTCCTGTTATCAGTCCCTGTGGATGCATCGTTTTGCGTATCTTTAGTATCAAGCTTATCGTCTTGTTGAGTAGATGTTTATCTGCTACGCTAGACTCTGCAACAACAGTCCACATCACAGCCTCCTTCCCCTCCTCTTCCCCTCCTCTCTTAGTCTGGCATACCGTTCCAGATCCATGACTAGAAAACACCATGCTCACTGATCCATTTTCTGATATATGTAGAAAGTATTTTGTGGTCTATGTGTGACCTATGCAAGCGAACAAGAGGGAAGATATTCTAAGAACATTCATTATCTCTAAAGAAATTATCCGCATCTGTGATTTATGCAAATCTCGGACCATGTATTCAAGGCTTAAATTCCTTTATCGACTAAAAATAGTTCCCTTCTCTTGCCACTGGCCTAAAGATATTATTAATGTGCAAAAAGGGAGCGATACTAAGAGGAGGATCACGGGGAGACTGTGAAAGAGGGCAAAGAACGAAACAGAACAAATTCAGATCAAATGGAAAGGCGGTCGTCTTTGATAGCTGTTCGCTCTGAGGCACAGCACACATCTTCTACAAGAGGGAAACATTAATGACTTGTCCAGAACAAGACAGTGGTACAGTAATGATACAGGGGGGTTGCTAGTCTGTATTTAGATGAGCTGCTGGAAAGCACCTTTATCTGGAGCAGATGACAAAGGCTGTGATAACTCTTGGTAGGTATGTCATCATTGTCAATCATTTCATCTCATTATTCCATCTCTCCTCACCCCCTCTGTAACGTCCTGTGTTGCTGCCACAGTGCTCAGGTAGGTGCCGCAAACTTTACGAGCTTTGTCGTGTTGCATGCAGTGTGTGATGCATGTTGCACTGGAATGGAAACTGCTTCAGATAACGTATATACTCTCACAGCTTTGTTATTGTACCTGACTGCTATTGTGTGCTTTCTCTGATTCTCAGAATATCAACCAATTAGAGATTTTCGGAGACATGTCCACACCTCCTGACATCACCTCTCCGTCGGTGAGCAGCTGTCATACACACACAGTTTGCGATTTACATCTAAGAAAAGCCGAACAGCATTTCCACTGAGCTGCCTCTGTTGTTTTTCCCTTAACCTCGACCTCCAATCACAACCCACGCAGACTCCCGCCTCTCCAGCCAACATCCTTGACCCCTCGCAGGGTCTGCAGCCTCCCACGGAACTGTTTGCTCCCTTCAATCCTGCGTCTGTGCCCTCAGGTAGGACCTTGTTCACTTTATGCTATAATACACCACTGGTGCAAGCAAAGACAAACAAACACAGCGGGAAAGAGAGGACAGAAGAGATGAGAAGAGGGGGATGAGATAAATAGAGGGGGAAAGAATAGAATTGAAATGCAGATGAGGGGAGGTGAAAGAGGAGAAAAGGTGGTGTTGGTTCTGTGTTGAATATGAAATGCGTCATTAGCTGCTGACTTTCCTCTTGCTGCTGACGTGACTGGTGGTCAAAAGAAAGTAGTCACACACGCTGAGATGATTGTAGTAATCACTCCTTGGTATGCACATAGGATTTATGTGGTGTGCACTTTATACTTATTCTGGTGTATGTCAGTGTAACTAGGAAGCTGAGGTTAAATGTCCACTTCCTCTGCTGTAGGTAACAAGTGAAGACCAGAAACGGAAGAACAGCAAGCGTGTAATAGCATAAGCTCCTCCTGACGGTATTGGGTGATTTTAATGAGTGTGTGTTAAGCTCTGCCTTTTCGTAATGACTCTTCCTCATTCTGGAGGTGATTATGAGAGTTCACCATGACTATTAAGAGACACCACAGTAGCTGCAGGCAGAAGTAGGGCAGCACTCTCTAGTGATGCATGATTATCTGTGTGTGCGTGTTAATGTGCTGAAGAAAAGCAGTGGTGAGCATATGCACTGTGGGTAATTTAATCACTTTCTCTTTGTTCTTATCTCTAATCATTCACCACCAGGTTATGTGACGATGGGAGCGGTACCCCCCGGCCACTGGTCCCAGCAGGCGTTCGCTGCCCAGACTCCGCTGGCCTTCGGGGTCCAGTCTCCGCTAGGCCCAGTGGCCCAGGTGCTGCCAGGCGGCCAGCCTCTTATCTGGGGCCAGGCCAACATCTTCCCTGCCACCCAACAGCAATGGGCAGCCATGGCGGCCGGAGCCTTCCCCCCTACAGCCTACCTCCCTGCCCAGCCTGTGGGCACCCTGCCCACCGCCATGTTCCAGACTCTCACTCCCGTCACGACTGTGACTCCAGCCGGCGAGAGCCATTCAGGCGCTGGAGCGAGCGCTTCAGCTGCTTCCCCTTCAGCGTCGTCGAGTCCGCAGCACGGGGAGAGGGGGAAGAAGATGGGCAAGGAATTGTTCAAGGTGGGGGGAGATGATGGATGAAGAACTCTGATGGGAACAGATTTATGATGTCTACTGAGAATTTTACACCTTTATGATGCAAAAACATGCAAATTAGTATCAAAATTGCAAATTATAACATCAATCAGAGAAACTAGGACCTGGGTTTAGCTTGTTTTCTTGTTACTGAGCATTATATGCCTTCATTAGTCGGGCAACAGTAGAGAAATGACAGGGAATGAAGGCAGATGGATGGGAAACAATAAGTAGCAGAGGTCCTCAAACTGTTGTGAACTGGTAACCTACGTTGTCAACACCTGAAATTTACTGTACTGTTTGGTTTACTTCCTAAGACTTACTGAGACTGTTGACAGACTGAGACAGAAAATATCGAGACAAGACCAGATTTTAGCGACGATCATGTGATCACATGTGTACCTGTGGGGTCTCCCATTAAAAATAATACAGCATGTTTGAACATTGGACGTTTTGATCTTGTGCAGTGAATCAAACAGTTGACCTCAATAACCTCTGTGTCTTCCCCCAGGACTTTCAGCTGGCGAAGCCTCCGGCCATGCCGTTAAAGAGGGCTGATCAGCCCAGCTTAGCAGGAACCTCAGAGGCATTCAGCACTTACTTCAGCCGTGTGGGCACTGCCCAGGACACGGACGACTGTGACGACTTTGACATTTCCCACATGAATCTGACACCAGTCACCTCCACAACACCATCCACCAACTCGCGTAAGCAAATCATTTCATGTCCGCCTTCAGTTCGTTTTCTCATGAATCACCATCCGGTGTGTAGCTACGTGTGACTCAACTTTTCCTCCCACACAGCGCCCACCCCAGCTCCCAGGCAGAGCCCTCCCTCCAAGTCCTCAGCCTCCCATGTCAGTGACCCCCCCACCGACGCCACAGACCCCCCCACAGACGACTCATTTGGGGAAGCAGAGGGCAGCCCTAGTCGCAGTGGAGAGGAGGATGCAGTAAGTGTGTGTGTGCGTGTGTGTTCCTTTAATAAGTCCTTATGATGCTATAACCTGAGATTTCCTGATAAATAGCCTTTGTAGCAGTGTTGGCGGGCGAGGTAATCACTCTGGCTGATTAGGGGGCCGAAGCCACTGTGTGCCTCTCTCTCTGTCTGTGTGTGTGTGTGTGTGTGTGTGTGTGTGTGTTAGTGCATGCAGGAGTTTGCACATTAACACATTGTGTTGCTGTGTGAATGTGAGAAGTTGCGTGCTAGTGTGAGTATGTGCCTCAGTGTGTTTTGCGTGCATGCATGGTCAACATAGCGTTAAATGAACTGGTGGGGTTGTCAGAGACATCATTAAGCTGTTATTAATACCAGCCAGGTAGCGTCCATACATCATTACTTCTATATGGACACACTCATCTCTGGTGAGATAGAGGAAGTATGTTGCCCCAATTCTTCTTCCAGCAGCAATTAATGTTTTTTTTTTTACCAGCAGCAGCACCTCAAACTGGGAGAAGGAAAGAGAAATTAAGGAGATGAGGAGATTAAGAGAGATTTTTAGGCGTGGGGGGAGAAATTCCCTTTGCCTTTGACCAAAGTCCTTGTAGGATGGTTGACCTTCAACAAAACAAGACTTCTCGTACTTCCCTTCCGTCGTTCTTTCTTTTTTGTGTTCTTTTCATGCTTGTCTCTCTCTTCTCCTCTGCTCTCAGGCGTGAAACATTAGTTTTATGCCTCCAATCCCGCTTTTATTGAAAAAAATAGAGAACTTTCACACTGCTGAAAATGTCACCAGGCCCGAATAACACACGGAGGCTTTACACAACCCAGAGTAATGTGCAGCGGTGGCGGAGGAGTGTGTGTGTACGAGTGAGTGAGGCGAAAAGGTTGCAAAGAAAGACAGGAGAAAAAAAATGGAGCGTGGGCAGAAAAACGGCTTCCTGCTCTCTGTGGGACGAGCTGTAAAAAGCAAAAGGGTTTTAAGAAAAAGCAGCAGATCAATAGGACGAACTCCACTGAGACATTCATAATAGGCCACTGTAAATGACTGCTTGCATATGTGTGAGTGTTAGAGTATGTTTTTGTGTATCTGCAAATGTGTTGCTGAGAGGGGACGGGTTGTGTGGGATGTGGTCGCTCACGGAAAATGTCCTTATTTCCCCTTCAGAGTATTGACTCTTTTCTGCTTCCTGTGTACGTCTGCTCTTGTAGTCTTTACTGATCCTGCAATCCTTCTTTTAGATTTATTCTTCTCTTTTCTACTTCCTGCACCCTCCTCCTTTCCTTCTCTTACACTCCATCAACCTTTCCCTCCACCCTCTCCTCCTCCTCCTTCCTCCCCTCTCTAGGCGTGTGGTTCTGGGTCGCCCTGCCCCAGTGAAACAGCAGAGCCCAGCCCAGACCAGGCCAGTCCAGAGGCTGGGAGCTAGATAGAGGAAGGGCAGGGTAGGTATCAATGCTTTCTCCCCACTAACATCTCCTCCATCACTTCCCTGATATCAACCAGTGCATATTTGTTCATCTTTTCCTTCGTCTGCTGGTTTTTTAATTGCATAATCATATTTCACAGTTTTCATTTGTCCCTCAGCTGTCACATATGCTCAAAGGTCAGCATGTGTTTTTCTGGGTTTGAATGTTTGTCGAGTATGATTGTGCATGTATGAGTATTTCATTTTTTGTGTTGGTAGTTTTTGTCACAGCATGACCTGGAGTTGTATAAGTACCTATGTATTATAAAGTGGCATTGCATTGTTGCTTTTTTTTTTTTTTTTTTTTTACCATATTGCTCTGTGCCCTCATTATGTCCTGTCTTTGTGACATGTACCTAAATCACGCCCAACTCTCTAAATAGCGCACATCTCACCAGGAACGCCAACAGAGTGTGACAGCCAATCAGAAGCTGTGTGCTTCAGTGAACAGGACATCTTCTGGGATTTGCCGGTGATGAGTGCAATATGCTGATCTCGAATGTGTAGCTTAATATAAAGAATGATGCGTTCTGTCATGTTATGCATAATGTATATTTCGTGATGTAATGTCACTTACAATGTGGTCATTATTGTCAGAGGATTAAACTGGTGAAGACGAGCAGCAACTATCAAAACTGATGATGTGTGCGTTTTCACACTTTGGCCACAAGGTTCTACAGGAAAACTTCCACACGACTGTTAACAGTTATGCAGTTTTGCAGTTTGCCTTCTCGGGGAGACACATACATGCACACACCAAAGAGGAGAGCCATTTTGATCCCTGCCTCCCAACCCGGTGTCCTCACCCACACAATTCCTGACTGTGGTTCCTTAATGATAGCTGCTGGCACTCACACAGGGAAAGATGTAACGGTTTTGTTTTCATCAGCTAATACTGGGGTGCCAAGATTAATGACTGCCCCGCCATAATTGGCATTAATTAAAGCCCAAGAAGCCTCCTAGTCCTTCCCCACTCCTGGAGAGGAGGAGGGCTGGCTGAGAAGCCTCTCTCCCCTGTTGGCCGGTGTCCTCATACTCAGACTGTGTGAAAGCTGCGGGGCAGCAGGTGGATACGGGCCTTAAGTGGGAGGATGGATTGTGGAGAAGCGAGCGGTGAATCTGGCTGCAGACTGACAGTGCCATGTCCAGAAGCAGAGTTTTTTTTCTCTGGAGTAGGTGGACTGCTTTGGTACTGGTCCAATGAAGCTGCTCCCATATGGTGTTTACTTGCTCAATCCTATTGGCTTCAGACATTCTCCCAAATAGACACACACACACACACACACACACACACACCTGTGAAATAGCCCCAGTTATTCCCCAAACAAGCACACCTGTGATCGATAGTGTCACCACCTGTGCTCATATCAGAGCCAAAATGTGTGTGTTTCTTAATGTGTGTGTGTGTGTTTCTGGCCATGACCACCTGTCCTGTCCTCCTCCTCCTCCTCCCCCTCCTCCCACTGTGTTGCTCCAACAGACATGTGTTCAGGCTACTGGGAGAGTAAGTGTTTTTTCTTAGGTGATCTCCTCATGTCCAGCGAATGCTCCCGAGACTCAGCCGTGAAATGGCCTCCTTCCACAGTTCACTGAGCAATCTCACACCGCTCCCCCAGCCCAGGGCTGACCACCACTCACGCACGGACATAAAAGTCCACGTGTACCAGCCAAGCCAGATATTCTGGCCTTTGGGCTGGTGCTGCACCAGCTCATCAGTCATACCTCCACCCATTTCCTCCCTGCTCCCTCGGCCGGGGTTGATGGAATCAAAGTGGCCCTGTCTGGCAGCGCTGGTTAGATGATGCAGGGTGAAAGAGGCGAGCTGAAGGTCTGAGCAGTGTGTGGTTACTGTCACCGCTTGTCTCAGCCTCTCTGTCACCTCTCTCAGGGCTGCTGGCAGCCACGTTCTGCTGACTGTTTGGCATTGGCCAGCCCTACAGCTGCAGCTCTGTATCCTGTGGCCCAAAGCCCCAGCAAGCATCAATCCCAACTTCAACCCCAGCTCTCTGCTCAGAAGAGACCTGGAGCAGATTATGCACCACGTCAGGCTGAAACAGCTGATATAAAAGTTCTTTTGTCCTATTTTTTCTTCTAAGATACGATTCTATCTCAGGAGAGAGTAGCATTCAGACACAACAAATTTTACTTAATTGGTGCAAATAAGTGGAACTTCACTGTCATTATTGATGAATCCCCTTCTGCTTATTTATTGATTTATTTCAGTAAATCATTAATAATTTTACTCATAAACTAGTAGAAAATAGTGAGGAATGCCTGTTTCAATGTCCCAGAGCTGACCCAAAATAGGCTCATCATATTGAAGCTGGAACTACAGAATTTAAAGTGTTTTCTTTTGTTAATGATATTATCACAATTGGTGCCATGTAAACTTCTGTTTATTGACTGATTAATCATTGACATCATTGATGATGATGCTGTATTCTCACATGGGCTCACTCGGTCATTCTCCAGACATTTTACAAGGGGGTTAGTAAGAACTTGTCTGAAGCAACTGACTCTGACATATGCGTTCTCACATATATCTGTTCAGCTGCAAATGCATTGATGTCTCACTTTGTGGAATGAAGTTGCCTCTAAATTCCACCTCATGTCACATATTGGAAGTGTAAAGTGTCACTCAGTGGCAGCAGGAATGTCAGCGTGACATCATGTCATAACGTGACCTTGAGAGATTGTAGCATCTTTTCTCACCTCAGGAGAAATGTGTCGCCATCGTGTGAATATAACTGTATCCTCATGTGGAAGCTACTGGTTTAACTCAAACTCTGAACAAGCACTTCTGTGCATCAGCGAGTGAGAGAAGTCTTCCAGAATATAATGGGCCAGTCAGAACTCTCCAATAGAGTTGTCTGCATGGCAGATTGAATGGCTGGCTGTAATTATGTGTACGATAATAACGGGCCCATTGTGAGCGAGTGCAGCAGCCTTGGGTCTCTGACTGCAGGCTGCTCCATCATCCACCGTTGGAGAGAAGCAGAGACAATGATGACTCATAACTGGTCTTTCGAGGTGCTAGATTATACGTCTGATTCCTACTGGTCCAGGAGGAAGCGTGGAGTGGGAGAGGACATGCACGTGCGATCACACACGCTCAGAAACAGTAACTCGCACACGCACACATAAAAGGTTTCCAGGGTGAGGGGCGGTTCAGTGAGAGCTCTGAATGGGCTGAGAGGAGAAATGAGAGGCCGCCGCCGCCAATGCAGTGGGCTACTGCCACCCTGTGGGTATGTTAGGTACCGGTACTGGCAAACGTCTGAGAATCTGGATCTTTGCTTGTCAGGACTTGCAGAGTGGTGATGCTTGCAGTTAAGTCAGTTGAGAAAATGAGTCAGAAACTCAGATCCTCCCCTGTGGTTATGTAACCTGAATTTGCTGAGGCCATGTGGTACTGATACAGTCAGGATTCAACAGAGAAACATAAACTGCTGTTTTTCTCTCTCATGCACAGGTGGGGAAGGACCCTCTCTACGCCCAGATCAACAAAGGGAAGAAATAAAGTGACACACAGGAAGACGGACCTGACTAGCACTGAGAGAAAAGGAGGAGATCCATGTGTGTGTGTTTGTGTGTGTGTCCTTCCTCTCCTCTGGCTAACAACCTCCCAGGAGGAGCCTCAAGCTTCCCTTTTCCCCCTTCTCTTCCTCCTCCTCCTCCTCATCCGTGCAGTCCTCTCTCCTCCTGAGAGGAGGGAGCCCTCTTCGTCAGTCACTCCAGGCAGGAGGGATGTCAATCAATCCACCTCTCCCTCCACGCTGTGTTGTCTTCTCCTCTTCTCTCCTCCTCCTCCCTGTGGCGAGTCACACCCAGCCTTACAGACATAACCTGATCCTCCCTTCTCTCTCTCTCTCTCTTCCCCACCTCTTTCTCGCAGTCTTCACCCTCACACTCCTCCCTCTGCCTCCTGTGTCTGGCCAGAGTCTGTGCTGCCAAGGAGGGACTGAATCAAGCAGTGCCTCTCTATCTCCGACACCCACCCACACTCACGCTTATTGGGATAAGAGTGTTCATCTTCCCTCTCAAGACTCCATCTGTAGCATGGACATCCCACAGGAGGAGCCAGACTCTTAACGGGCCTATCAGGGATGGCCCGTTCCTGGGATCTCTGGTTCTGATTGGTTGGTTGTTTGGTTAGTTTGGGCGTTTTCTCCCCAGTCTTGTGAGTGTCTGCTTGATCTCTATGCAGAAACAGACTCTCTGAGAGCGACTCACATGCCAACTACACGCATACAGCTCACACAGCAATCCGCCTACAACACACACATGCATACACACAGACTCATCCCTCACTCTCTCTAACATGCATACACGCAGTGATTTGCCAAACGTCTCACCTTGCAGACAGACTCGTTCAGAAGCCAGAGGACCAGACAAATGGAGGAAGGGACCCTGAGAGAAAAGGCGTCAAACGGATTCTGTGATCGAACTGTTCATTCTCTATAGCTTTTGTACAATACTGATTTAAAAAAAAGAAAAAGAACAAATTGAAAAATTGAATTTTTATTTTATAAGTCAATCAAGCCGCTGGAGTCAGCTCTATAGGAGTTGTAGAGTCAACTTGGCTTTAAGGCATCTGATCGTTGGTTTGCCAAACTCATTTTGTAAATAATTATGACAACAACAACAACAACAACAACCATTTTGTCCACTGGACATCTGTGCCATAAAATAGGAAGGCTTCAGTTATGCAATCTCTTGACATTAACCCGAGCAATACCAACATATGTTTTTCTTTTCCTGTTTTCCCACTTTGTCTTGATTCTCCCTCAAATACTGATTTTTTTTTCTCGTGCATGGATGTTGTAGGTCTTTCTCTTAGCCTCACTTACTAATCCACCTCTAAACCTTGTACCCGTTTGTCCCACGGCCACACGTTATCGTTGTGTCTCTATGGTTTATGTTATCCAAACACTATGTACCACGATCCTATGTTGCAGGCAGCAGACATGGTCTCACTCACTGCAGCCCACACTGCTCCTGCCTGCCATCCCTTTACCCCGGAACAGTCTTTACACAGCCATGCTCCACCCATCTGTCTGTCTGGTGTTCAGGTGCCAAAACCGCTGCTGTCTGAGCATCTGTGTGTGTGGGCTGCAGCGTCCTCTGCTACAGCTACATCGACTGTGATGCCAATGACTCCCTATTTTATGGCCAGAGTCCCCATGTCACTGGAGAACTCTTTTTGGACTATGACGTTGATTAACTTAAAAATGTGACAACTAGAAGACAAAGCGAAGACGCTGAATAAAAAGGGAAACGTTGCTGTTTGAGTACATAACATTTCTAGACCTATTTTAACTTTACCTCAGCTAACAGTTTCTTAATGTAAATTGACACATTATTTTTATCTTTATGAATATGACATTCTACAGTGAGTTTTTAGATGATTTTTTTGGTTCTCTCTTGATTTACGTATTCCACCATGTATTCCTGTTACAAATAAACACATCCCAAATGACTGATGTGTCTGCTTACGTGCTTTGGTTGTAATCTGTGTGTGTGTGTGTGTGTATATGTGTGTAAGAAAGAGTGAGTAAACCTAATGGTGTGTGTCTGGCAGAGGTGACCCCCAGTGTGTCTTATGTTAGTGTAAAGCAAGTGTCACAGTATTTAGTTGTAATTTAACACAGCTTTAATGGCCTGTCACATTCTGCTACACCAGCAGACTCTAATGCAAGCTGTCATAGACTTTATTAGAAAACCACTATGAAACAAGAACTTCAGCCTTCTCCTGCTCATTGTGTTTCTCCCTCCTGCCTGTGTAAAAAAAACAAGGTATAAAAAATGAGTTGAACAATTTTTACATTTTATAAAAGTATTGATTTAAAGGATAATGCCATCTAGATTAAAAGAAAACATTTTATCCATCACTCATACTGGTATTTGGCCATGGAGACGATCGGATCTCTCAGGTCGGATGTTAATACCAGCTCTGAACTGGACCATGAAACTGAAATCACCCATATATTGTGGAGGTGAATGATGTTTTTGTGTTTGTGATTCAAAAATCACAGAAAGATTAACTATGAAGTGTGTGTGCACGTGAAGCCGCATTAATAACTAAAAGTTCCTCTCTGTCTCTGTTTCTCTCTCTCTCTGTAAATACACTTTAAGGTTATACTCGCTCGCTCTCCTCCTCTCTCTCTCTAACAGTCTCTTAGCTGTCTCCATGGCAATGCTCTTAAAGGACTACTCCACAGAGGTTGCAATACAAGAATTCAGATGACATCATCATCCATAACCGTGTCCATCAGTCACATGCTAACGATTTAGCATCAATGATTGTGAGTGGTGCGAGGCTCCATGCTAATGCTGCAGCATTGACACTAGACACTTTCAACAAAGCATTGCCTCATATTTTGATTTTGTTTTGTATATTTGAAGTAATCAAACATGAGAGGGCAATTGGTTCACTGATCCAACCAGAACAAGCAGGTAACTGAGGATGATCACAATTACAAATACCTGTTCAAATAATTGATATAACAATGACTTTATGTTTTCAGTCACATCATCTGCTGCATTCCTTACTGATATGACACAGTCTGTAATAGTGTTAAAAATAATTTCACATTGGGGAATAGGTCACATTCAGCAAGTATATTTAAAAGCAAGTATTTGTTTCTTTTACACAGGTAGAAGAGTTGATGTGGTACTTAAATTTGAGTATATATTTGTTTATTATTTCTACTTCTACATAAGGAAAAGGTCTTTCCTCCACCACTGGTTAAAATCCTGGATGCCAGACCATGTGGCAGAGAAACAGAGGCCTGTAAATCAGACAGTGACGAGCAGCCATCTCTGTGTGTGAGGCCTCAGCTCCTGACACGCCTGTCACGGCAACAATATGTTGGCAGCCACACAGAACATTACAGAATATCCTTCAAATGAAGTGTGTACCTGCAGTGTGTGGTGTATTTGTGTCATATTGTAAAAACCAGCTTAAATGCTTTTAGTATTCTGCCTGTAACAAACCTGGAATGTTGACTGGCCTCTTTTTGTTTCCTTTTCCTCTATATTTCCTCTGATGTTTAAGCCTCTGATATTGAATCAATACATGCAATGCTCGATCACATCTTCTCACTATAGAAATTGACTTTCAGTTTAGTTTTTAAAAGATTTAACACTTGCACTATTAAATTATAGAAGTGTAACAGTTTTAAGAGGAAAACAACTCCAGCTCCAAGGTGTCATGACAGTGAGTCACCTGTGCGCGTCCACGCGGTGCCAGCCGGGCCACATTCCTGCAGGATCGTTCAGTGACTGAGCTCAGACTCGTCTGACGAGCCGGACTGTTTTTGAAGATGAGTGAGACTCTTCCTACTCGACCTCATTCCTCCATGGGCTGCGCACTGCCTCTGACCAGAGAGGAGAGGACGTGCGTAGAGATTTGATCGATACAAGTAATGATAGGAGGGGAGTTTTATTTGATGGTGCAATTTTCATCACACACAGAATGATGAGAGGCTGAAGGAGAAACTCACTGGACTAAACTCTCTTGAATAAACACGCTGTTGTCGTCTCGGTGGATACTTTAGCGCACGATGGATCAGGTATGTGCTCTTACTTCAAATCCTTCCTCAAAGTCTGACATGGTAAATGATTGTATTACAATTTGTGATGATATTTCATGGTATATTAACAGATCATTATATCAGCCTATACTTTTGTCATATTGAAAATCACTTGTGAGTCGTAAATACATTTAGTTTGAGGCTGAATTGTTCAGCACATACACACATCTGAGCCCGATGTGTCATGTGTGTTGGAATGTGTGTGGAGGAGGTGGGTGTAAGCGAATATTAAAGCAAATAAAATAAAAAGAAAACCAAATCACTGCTAAATCACATGTACACTGATTCTTTATGATGAGAGTTACACCCTCATTAACTCTTTGGCACTGTTTTGTGAATCCAAACATATCAGGTGTCAGTGTTTAAATGTCTAATATTGTTGTACCTAATATTACATCGTGTGATCCTGTCACCAGGAGGACACTTTGGATTTTAAGGCTCTGAGGGCCAAGTTCCAGGATGAAGAACTCCTCCTGATGCAGTCTAGGATCAAACCAGCCCTCCCAGAGAAACCAAAGCTAGTGCCCCCTCCTCAGAGCCCCACTCATCACCTCCCTGCAGGAGCACGCCCCTCCCTGCTCACCTCCATCAACCAGAGCCTGGAGGGGAAAACGCACCTCGCCCCAAGGGTGGTCTTCAAGAACGAGAAGAAGGAGAGCAAAATGCCTCTGATCAAGGCCAACAAGTTGAAAGTGGGTAAAGACAAGACTAAAGGGAGCAAGGAGAAGCTTGATGCCGACTTTTCGGAGCAGAAGCCGAAGAAAGAGAACGATAAAGACAAGAAGCTCCTGCTGATGTTCCCTGTAGCACAGAAGGAGAGCACGGCAGAACTGGTGCCTGCCACACCTCCACCTAAAGCTACAACACAGAAGAAGAAGGGTTTCCTCAGCCTCATGAAGTCAGTAAAGAAAGATTCATTTGAGATTACGGCCGACCCCATCTTAGACACCCCTAGTTCAGACATTCCTGGACCAGCTCCTCTCATCCCTGTGCCTTTTGGTGGCACACCAGCAGAGCCGGAAATCTATGCTCCTAAAGCCCTATTGTCAAACATCCCATCCTTACCTAACTCCATTGCTACAATGGAAATCCCCCCACCCTCCATTATCCCTGCCTCTCCCGACTACAACCTATCTCCCGCCTTTATTCCTGTTTTCCCTGATCCTACAGTCCCAACCCTGCAGGGTGAAACTCCACTAGATGTAGAAACTCCTGCCCTGTCCATTCCGACCAATGTCAGCCCGACCCCTGCTACCCCTACTCTACCTCCAGGGGCCTCTACTCCATCTGGGTCATCCCCTGAGCCTGAGATCTCTGAGGCTGGTATAGAGGCTGTAAGTATAGCTGCACTAGAGAAGCCTCCTCTGATCACAGATCCTCCATCCATGCAACCATCTCCCAATACTGAGCGTCCAATCTCAGCTCTCTCAGCCCTGGAGAGGGCAGTGGACATGAGCCCGGGGAAAAGAACTCCAGCTGACCAGAGAATTCTCAATGCTCTGGAGAAGGCACGCAAGAAGAGCGGCAGGTAAACAACACAGTCAGAAAAGCACTGTTGTATTTCAGAAGATGTGAAAAACTGTTATTAAAACTGTTGAAGGCCCATATCTGACCCTTTCTTATTTGTTCTCAGCCCGCAGACAAACCACACCAGATCTTCCTCCATCACCCCTCCACCTGAGGTACTGGCCCCTCCTGAGAGCCCCACCTTCTCTCTGCCAGAGCTCCCACCTATAGATTATGAGGATCGGGCAGGAAACGCCCGCCCACCGAAACCAGAGCAAGTCAACGGCATTGACCACCGTAAGTCTCAACTCAGCACATCACAGAGATCTTCTCTTCTCCTCCCTGCTCTTCCCTTTTCAGTCGAATTTCAGTCTATTTGGATTTTGCAATTCGCTGTTTCCTTCACCTGAATATGAAGCGCACAGAAATATATCTCATCAGCAGGACGCCAGGTATGTGCTGTATAGAACAACCTGTATGTATAGTGTGGTTTATGCCACATGGTTGCCTCAGATGTTAGATAGGAGAAGCAGCTTTTAAAGACCCACTCACACACACACACACACACACACACACACACATACAATGAACAGTCCCGACATTCCTCTTATGTGCCAGAAACAACTCGGCAGTAGGCAGGGCAGAGCAGCAGAAGTATGTCAGCAATGACAGGAGCATGTCTGTCGGTATGACACAGAGCTGCATGGACAAACACTTTAGTGTCTGTTAAACACAGTCAGTTGGCTCTGGGGTTGATAGTGACTTGACTTACACAGAGTTCATTAATTAAATGTTCACGCAGGTGGTCGTGCATGTATCAGTTTTATACAACCTTGTGTCAGTTATCATTTCATGATGTGTGTTTTGTGATACTACAAGACCTTTCAAAAGATTCTCTAGTTGGTGTTTGAACACCGATTGTGCAATACTAAAGGATTAGTTATGCTTCATAGGACAGTTCAATTTCAAAGGTTTAAAGAAAATATTAGACAAATGTTTTCCTAGCACTTTAAATTAAGAAAGTGACTTAAAAACTAGAGTCACTCAAAAATGGTCCATTGAAGTCTAAGATATTTGTTCAGGAAGAACATCTGCACTTCGTCTTCATGCTGTCCTGATCTTTCTCTTATAATTGCATTATCCCTGCTCTGCAAAGTTATGTCACAACAACTTTCACAGTGTGCTCGACTGGTTTAGTTTCCTCACAAATCAAACTCTTCACTCTGCTAGCTGTTAAAAAGTGTTTCAATGATATTACTGTTCACACCAAATATTTCTGCTGAAATGAGGATGTCAATAACATTCCACTTAGAGCTGGTGGTAAAGTATCTGACAAACCTGTATAGAGTCGTGTATGGAGACTAATGTCGTTCTTTGCAGGACAAGCCTCTCCTGTATTGGAGGGCCTCTCTGAAGAGGGGTCTGATGCTGTCCCAGAGTTGTTTGTGCTTCACCCTCCTCCACCGAGGAAAGTCCTCCCAGACCCAGAGTCTCTGGGTCCAGCTCCAGAGAAGCCTGACAGGCCTCCCTATGTCAACCTGAATGAATTCATCCCTCCTCCTCCTGTGGAAGATAATGGTGTGGATCCTACACCATTGCAATCAACCAGCCCATTCAACACCCTCCTAACCCTGGTTTCATTTTATCTCACCTCACAGATGTCTCTGCTCCCATGGAGTTCTCAGAGACAGCCACCACGGATGTCCCAGAGTTTGACAATATGGCCTCAGTCGGCCACTCTCCAGAGCTGCCAATGTCAGAGTGGGGGAATGGGGAGTACACTGGTCCTGATACTCTGGAGGCACAGAACCTCCCAGATTATTACAGCAATGGGACTACTGCTCCAGCAGCTGAGGTCCATGCTGCGCCGGCATTTGGAGACGAATACCAAGAAAATGCACAACCAGTGGCAGGGTAAGACACATGCATTTAACTGTAGTGTCTTTACTTTGAAATGTTTCTTCATCTCTGAGAACCATCCCTCTCCTCTCTGCAAAGCAGGCTTGAAGCTGCTGAAGCTGCCAATGGGATCAGTGCAGAAAATCCATATGAGGACGTTACAACGTCTGCATCCAAAAAGAAAGGAAAGTCTGACGGTGGCAAGAAACGCAAGGGACCACCAAAGAGTAAGGACGACATATCAGTCCTTTCATATCAGAACATTTATATCGATAAGATGACAAATTAAAATACTCATTTGACATTAAACTAAAGCCAGAATTTCTAATACTTGATTTGCTTGAATATTTCATGAATCATTTTAAGAGTCATTAGCCTCCTCTCAAGAATCTGATTAAGGGCAGCAATACTCTGTGTAGCAGAGCCCTCACGTCCACCAAAATTTCAGTTTTACCACCTCAGGCAGATAACGTGTGTATAGATATGACGTACAAAGAGAGTATACATAACACACGTCTCATCAGTGGCTTCCCGTTGACAGAGAAGTAAAGTTATCTCATGTGATTCTATCTTCTGTATCATATCGACACTGAAAACTACATCTTGATTTAAACAATTCTGCACTTTAATTGAATGTGTTTTTACCACAGATCCATATATGGTAGCAGGACAGGAAACAGTAAGTAGTTTTGTCATTGTATTGAAATAAAAGCATCTTTTTTATCTGCTTCAGACAAACCTTATCTTTTTCTTGTTGTTTACAGAATGAAGAAAAAAGCAAGATGAGCAGGTTCGGCAAGTAAGGCCCTATTTTTTTGACCCACTTCTCTTGTCATCGTAGTTTATCTCGATCACTGTTTGAGATGAAAGAATCCTGTCTGACTTTGTCTGCCCCCCCCCCTTTGAAACAAGACAATAGCTGTTGTTCTGATTTCTGCAGGAGCGACAAGAAAGCCGCCGTGGACGGGCTGGATGAGAAAGAGATGAAAAAGAGGGAGAAGCAGCGTATGGAGAAGGAGAAGAAAGAGTTGAAGGAGAAACAGGAGCGGGAGAAGAAGGAACAGAAGGAGAGGGAGAAGAAGGAGAACGAGATGAAGAAGAAATTCAAAGTGAGTGATGTTATTGTGAAAGAGAAGGGAGGTATGGAAAGTGAATGAGCTAGCGGGGCAGGGTGGGGTATATGTCTTGTCGTACAAACCTGTCCGGATTCATTCCTCCCTGCGGAAGAGTTGAGGTAAGCAACATGTGCAGCCTCAAATGGAATCTGTGTAAACACTCGTCTCAGTGTTTCTGACAAAGATTTATGAACTTTACTCTCTCCTCTGCAGAGAGTCTGAGGGCAATGCAAGTAACTTGACCTGTGAATATAATAAAGGGGATAAAGATAATAAAGAGCACTTATAAGTGCCAACTCTTTATGTTAATACCCAGTATTAAGCTCACAATAGCTTATAACCCACTATCCATGTGAATATGTGGTTCTAACCATACACTGTATGTGAATCAACGACATTAAACATACACTTTTTCAAATTAATGTTATCAATTGTGTTGATATAACTTGTTAACTTTCATTTGACTGAACTTTATTAATTAGTCTATGACAATTAAAGTAATTGTTTTAAGTTGGTAATAATTTTCTTTTTTCAGTGTAATTAAAACCAAACCTACTGGAAATATTAACATTTAAAGGTACAGTGTGTAGAATTTAGTGATATCTAGTGTTGAAATCACATGTTGCAGCTGAACACCCCTCACCTCACCCTCTCCTTCCAAACATGAAAAAGAACCTGTGGTAGCTTTAGTTGTCATAAAAACTCAAAAGGTGTTTTGGTTGTCCAGTTTGGACTAAAGTAAAAAAAACATGTCGGCCTCCGTAGAGAGGGTCCCCTCGATTTAAATATAAAGTATTTAAATATAAAGGGCCTTTTCTGGGGTAAAGAAAACTACAATTCATATGATTTATATGAAACGAACCAGTGAAAACATCATGAGGATTATTCTACATTAAATGTCTGCCAATGGATCCCTTTCACCTGAATCTTACATACTGGACCTTTAAAGAAACATCAGTGTGATAACAATTACCTAAAATGACAGAAACCATCTTGAAGAAAACATATCTGATTTACTTTGATTTTTTTGTTTGGTCCGTGCCCCATTCACTGACATGGATGAGACAAGGTTTATGATCTATACTGCAGCCAGCCACCAGGAGGGGATTTGGCGTCATTTTTGGGAGCTGTCATTTCGTCTGTCTTTATATACTGTCTATGATTCTGATTTGTAACTCTGTTCGTCAGATCACGGGACAGGAGGATGCTATGTACCAGGCAACAGTAACCGTGACAACAAAAGGACGCAAGGACGATCTACCCGTCAAGAGCGGTGACATCATCAGCATAATCCGAACCACCAACTGCCCTAAAGGGAAATGGCTGGCCAGGGACAGCAGCAACACCTGTGAGTGTTCAAAACCTCATGCATTGTTATTATCACCTCAAGGGTAAAGAGATGCATAAATATGCAGACAGGCTGACAACACTGCAGCAGGAGTATGATGAAAACATCAGAAATCACACGAGGAAGCTCATAGACACAAGTCTGAGCCACATGAGACAGAAAACTGATGACTCGGAGAATGTTGTTGGGAAAAGTCACTTGTGCACTTGAATCCCTGACTGTGGATCTATCAGTGACTGTGTGTGGGTGTTTTGCAGATGGGTATATTGCAGTGGATCATGTGGAGCTGGACATCAAAGAGATGTTGGAGCTGGGGAAGAAGGCTGCCATCACCCGCAATACCAGCACCAACGTCCAGGAGGGAGAGGTCACCAGCACGGGGAGTAGGTCAGTGTGCACAGTGGAAAATGTACAGATGGCACAATAAAAAAAGAACATATCATCTCATGCATTATTCATTCCACTGTTCATTTAAAATGATGATTCATCTGTGCTTTATCTCTTTTCTCAGGGCCTCAAATCGCTATCCATTATCAGCAGGAAGCTGTAAGTTTTCTATTTCTAACTCACACTTATTAAAGGATGCTTTAATGTATTCAGCTGCAGCAGTTTGATGATGATGATGATGATGATGATGATGATGATGATGATGATGATGATGATGTATTCAGTCTCAGATGACAGTGAAGAGTGGACCGGTGATGAGGATGAAAATCTCTCCCCTGTTCATGAACCTGCAGATCCATTTGCTCCAGTGTAAGTTGATGTCGGCCTCCGTCCACACAAGTGAATTATTGTTATTTGCTTTAGATAGAGACCGACCGACAGGGATCTTTGATTTTAATGTCTTTTGTTTTCCGCTGCAGGGGCCACACCAGGACACTCTCCATGCCAGACATGGGTATGAAATCACAAACCCCTTCTAACACTTCAGCTCTCTGACTTTATGGCAAACATTTCTTCAGAAATTTGCACTGAAGTTTAATAACAGAAATAAATAACCAAGCAAATGTTTGTATGATGACTGTCTATCACCCTAAACTCCATCATTATTGTCACCTCAGTAAATTGTAGTGAGCTTATCTCCTCAATGTGTTATCTTGATGAGCATGTGGAGATACAGTAAACCACAGATACAACAAATGTTACGTATGATTTACTCCACCATACATGATGCACATATTTTTAGATTCCGAGTGACTTAAACTTTATGGGATTATTGTTATCTCCATAAAATTACTATGAAATCAAAGCCAAAAGCTGACTAACTGAACCACTGGGCAACATTATACTTTCCATTCACATCCCCACAACAAACATGGCACAGCATCAACTTAAAGCTAGACGTGATACTATTCCATTCTAATCTTCACAGACATTCAGTGTAACTACTTTAAATACTGACTTACAACCATGTAACACGTTAGATGGGAGTATTGGTTGTTTARACAGGAAGATGTTAACTGTCAGTGTAATGCTAAGGGTTTATGACTTCAACAAACAGTACCTGACACAGGTTTAGTGTCATTAATGTTCTAGCTGAATTTTTAATGAAAGGGTCTTGTATTTATGTGTGTTGCTTATTTGTTTTCATAGGAAACAAGGATCTGAGTATAGTCCACCAGCACAGTCACAGTGACATCAGTGCAGAAGGCTCCCATATCCAGTGAGTTCCCCTGTTTCCCTCTCACACTAACACATATACAACAAATGTACATAAACAATTTATACAGTTAATATTCGTCTTTGTCTTTTTATCAGAGCAAGACATGAAGCACTTCAGAAGTTAGCCACGTTTTTCCATTCAGCCAAACCTGTGGAGCCAGCTTCCAGGTCAGTATCATGTACTAACATGTACCTGCTGTATGTGCACACACAAATACACACCTATGAATGCACAAACACAAAAATTTACAAATACAAATGGGGTTTTAATTCCTGCTTTTCCTTCTTTTTCACAGTAACAATGAACTGGAGACAAGTAAGTGAAAATGAAATATTCTCCATGTATATAAATACACAGTCTGTGTTGAAAAAAAAAGG